CGATTAATAATCTCACCAGAATTACAGTATTATTAGATTAGTCGATCACTCTTAATAAATTAGTTGCTACTGATTGCTGTAACAGGTGGAAAACGAAAGGCGACCCTTCCAGCTGAGAGCGTCCCCGTAAGTTGGCTTCATTCTCATTTCACCCTTATTTCGTTCTCGTTTCCACTGACGATGCGAGACGTTTGGATTGCAGGCCCGGCGGAGTGCCCGTCTACGATCAGGAGCTGAGATCGGCCGAGCACCAGGTAACCGGGACTTGGGAGGATGTGGAAGTTCTTGCAGCGACGCGGAACCTTAGCCTTGGACTCTGAATCTCAGAAACCGACGGCCTACTCTCTCAAGCTTTGTATCTTTCTGTCGATTTTGACCACTTGCAGCAATGCTGACGCCTTCCAATTAAAATCTACTTTCTCTCAGCCGAAAAGCCCATGCCTCAGACGAACGCCTAATGCCGGATTCATAATCCTGAAGAAATGTGCAGTGTGGGATGACTCGATTGTGAATTGAGCATTCCCAAGAATTCCTCTTAAACAAAAAATTGTCTTGCACGGTTCCAGGAGAGCTTTCCTCTTCAGTAACCAAACCTGAGTTTGTGGCATCTGGAAATTGCAGAATGACGTGGCATGTCAACATCGAACGGAATTGAATATGTTTGTCTCGTCCCCACGAGAGTTGCCCGATCATATTTGCTCGCGTTGTGAGGATTCCTCTTCCCAAAATATATATTTGTCATTTTTGGAAGAGAGTAGATTTACTTCTAAGCAGGGAGTAATGAACATAATTAAGAAAGCTGTGCCCTGGATCCACGTATTAAAAGAAATACATCCGTGACCACCTGAGAGGACTTGTCACCATCCATGCACCTATGATCATCGGTGTCTCGAGTTTCAGCCATTTTTTCTCCCGCTGCTTCTAATATCGAGGTTCCTCGAAGGTTCCCTTTCTCGTCCGTCTTATATTCCTGTGTGTGTACGTTTGCTAAGAGGCTGACAGTCACGATGATTCATGTAACAGGCAGATGGGAAATGGAAGAGGGAAATTCATGCTCGCCTTAGAGGGCTTCAAGCCGTAGGGGAGAGTAAATTAGAGGGCTCGGGGGGGATTGGAGCAAGTTTTCATTTCCGTCGCACGCAAGGGAAGGATCAAAAAGCAATCAAGGAAGGAAGCCTCGGCCCTTCCCTTCTTTGTTTATCCGCCTGGATCGTCAAGCTCATCCATCGAGTGTTCACAGCACCACGCTGCAGGTGGAGAATTCCTGGCATCAGGTTGTAGGGAGAATATTTGATGTCTTCTCCGTCTTATATTCCCATGAAGGTGACTGATTTCTCTGATTAACTTGTAGTTATTTTCAGGATTTAAGAAATAGCTCACTGGCAGTTTGGTTGCTTCTTCACCTTTTTAGTGCCAAAGTCGATTAAATAGACGCTATGAATTTCGTTTTAAAATGCCTTAGTCGAAGAGCTGGTACTGAAAGGGTTAAGGGTTGAGGGTTTTCTTTCGTCAGAGCGCTCGATCGTACTTCCTCTCTATCTTCAACCCTTTTACCACCAACCCTTTGACCATGGCAATTTTAAACGAAATTCGTAGCGTCTATTTAATCGACTCTGGCACTAAAAGGGTTAAAATGGTACAATAAATACGCATGTACAGAACGAATAAAATAGTTGAAAGGATGCAAATTTTGTATTGAATTTTTTTTGCATTTGAACTACGGTTCGTGGTAGGACTACACCTGTCGAACCAACAAGCATTCTGTGGGTCTCACGAAAGACCTCTCGTAGCAGTTACAGTGCACCACGTGGGATTCCTGTTTGAATCGGTATCCGATTTTATGCTGACAGTTTTTCCCACCACCTTACCTCATTCCGAAAACTGGTGCGGTGCAAACATTTTTCATCCGGAGTCACTATGCAAAATCCAATAGAACATGCTACAGCGTGTTTAGACGTTTGGAATATATGTGCCATATTTTACACGAGGACGAGCCTATCTGGACTTTTTTTGCAAAGTTGTTCGTAGTTTGCAAAGTTTTTCATTATTGAGCAGTGAGCGATTGACCATAAATGCACAGAACGAGAAGGCACTAGCAAAGGAAAAAAGTTAGAGAACGAAAGGGAATCTTCCCTCAATCGTCCTTCTGGGACAGGAATGGATTAACTTAACTGAACTGCGACTGGACTGCAGTTTTGAAATCAACCATGATGGTATTGAGAATATTTTCTGTTTTATTTATTATTATTGTTATTATTTATTTTGGAGGGGGTATGAAACTAATATCCTTCATAAAATGACTATTGCCCCTTACAGTAGTAGAAATCGCTGCTCAGAATAGCAATTTCAGATCCAAATTTCCATCATCATATGCCTCGCCGCTATCGCGCTTGTTTATGACATCCAACAATTCCAGTGGTTTTCGATCTGAGAACAGATCAGAGGTGACTCCCGAGCTGGACACTGGTGACTCTCAGACAAGTGACTCGCAATTTTCGCTTGTCATCACATCGGTTGCATTTCTTTTCATGAGAACTAGTTTTTATAGATAATGATGGGGTGTGGTGGAGAGGCGAAAATTGCGCCGAAAATTTACGGCTGGACGGGTATGCACTTCAGCAATCGCGTTAAAGAGCAAACTCGTCATGCTAAACTGAACTACATGGAGAGCCAAAAAAAAACTCATTTTTGGTGAGTGGTCAATCTAATTGTAGACAACCAATTCTGATGAAATTTGGTGGACATATTGGGTGACTCAATTTGGTTTTGTGCGCTGAGTTTAAAATCAAAATTCCAAAAGTGGTGAAAATAGCGTTTAATTTACTTTCGATCACAAAAAATAAATGTTCTTTTTTTTTATTTAAACCTAAAATTTCGCTACCAGATTTGTCAACTTTTCGGATGGTACATTCAAGCCCTCTCCTCGACCAATTTTTTTAAAAGGGAAATTCACTCATCATTTTCCTTGCACCATATCATTTTTCAAGTTGCAACTTTCTTAATGAGAGCCAGATCTTCGTTACTTATGTAAGGCATTTTGACAATGCACTTTCAACTGATACGAAAGGAAAGAAAAATTAAAAAATTTAAGATTTGAAATCCTGCTTAATATTCGGCGAGCTAGCCTAGGCTTTTTTTTAAATGCATTTATTGTATAATAAGTAGGTTGGCCTTAGCCTAGCTGAGCTTATGAACTAATAACTTAACTTATTGTGGCAGGAGATCATGCATTCCATGTAGGGCCGAACAGATGGGGGAGGGGGGGGCATCGGGGTCTATCTGCCCTGGGCCTCGCGTACCAAGGGGCCCCAAGGGGGCCTCCAAAAGGCCTCCAGGGGGCCCCCAAGGGACCTCCGGTTTAGTTTTGCTCCGGGCCCCCAGGGAACCTCTGGGTCGCCCTGATTCCACGAATCACTACCACCTCAAGTTCATATTGATCTTTTTGACAGCCCATTTTGTCGTGGGTCATCAGGAAATGATTACTGCTCCTATAATTTTAGAACCAGAAGGCGGAAAATACGGCAGAATTGTGTCACCCTATACACATGCCAAATTTTACCAGAATTGGCAGCCTGCAGTTGGATTGACAACTCACCCAAAATGACAGCTTTGTTTTTCTTTGGCCCACCCTGTATAACATACCTACTGGTATACAATTTAACACAAACGATCACTATCTCGAACATTTTACAATCTTACTTATAAAGCGGATTAAAGTTTTCAAGTATTCTTTCCAGTTCTCCCTTGGATTTTTCATTTAGTTTGTTCATTTTCTTCTTTCTCCCTTTCAACTTTGACATCGTTTATTTTATCGGATTTTTCGCATCCTTTCATTCACATTTAGATAATTCTGAAGAAGGGGATTTGTGTCCTCGAAACATCGGTTTCCGTTTCAAAAATGAATTTGCCGCTTTGAGGTGTCTCTGTTCTGCGTGACCCTGAGCATTCTCATTCGCACGAAGCATTGAAAGTAAGACCATGACACAATGACACATTGACCACAAGTCTCGTTTCTTTGATTTTGGAGGCGTAGTTCCATTCGATGTTATAAGCCTACCTCTGTTTTATATGTAAGTTATGACAGCCATCAATCGAGAGGCAAGTTTTGCGAGTAGTTGCACACGTAAGTTCAACAACCCCGACAACCCAGTCGAAAACACAGTGTCAACTTCATGCAAGAATGTCCCTATGTCGAGCCACTTCAATGGAACACGGTTCTTAAAAATTCAGTAATTATGTTAATAGCTCTAATAATTGAATGGGGCAACTGTAGGATTTTGATAGACTGCTGAACCATCTGCAAGCACCTATAGCATGCAAAGCATCCAAGACCCATTTAGGGTCGTTGCTGAGGGAGCCTGCCTCACTGAAATTAGTCCTCCCCTTCCCGCTTCCCCTTTCCCTTCTCCCTCCCCCCAATCGAAGTTTTTGACAAGCTCTAATTACATATCCATTATCATCCTGATCTTTCTCTAAGGGGCTGAGGAACTTTCCGATTCCCTTTTATGGTGCGCGTGTTGCTAGTTTCCCGAACCTTCAAGTTTTTCAATCGGCACCTTACAGTATTGAGAATTGAAAATGTCGCCATAATATCGTTTCGTATTTCTTTCTTCAGGAGAATTTGTTTGCTTTTTTGGTCTATGCACAGGCAAAGTTATTGTAACTTTGCAGTTTCGAGTACGTTGAGTTCAAAACTTATCTAAATAAACTGTAATAGAGAAGCAAAAAATACTGCCATATTTTTCAAACACCTACATGGGCACAACGTGAAAAAGTCAGAGAAGTAAGGTCTGATAGGTTCTAATTAAGATCCAGTCGCTGAATCCTGATGCCGTCGTTCCGTTTGGACAATCTCGCTCTTATTACAGGTGGCCTTAGCCTTCCCCCCCACCCCCTGTGAGGAGGGAAGATAGGAAGGGAGGATGCGCATTAGGCTCCGTCCCTCTCACGAGAGGAGGAGGGGGAAGGAGGATGCCTCTCTCATTCGCCTTCCCACGATGGAGGGAAGTCCTTCGTCCCCTCCGCATCAATCTTCGCACATCTTTCACCTTCTCAGGAGGTTAGCTCTCTCCCTCTCACACCTATGCGCTTAAAATTTTCTTTTAATGGATTTTTAGCTGATGGGCAGGAGGGACATCGTGTAGCAACCGGGGAAGTGAAGATTGAGGTGGCTCTAACACTGCTATGTGATCGAGAGCGTAGAAGAGAAAACTATACTAACCGTCAGTGAGCGGCTTACCCCTTTTAGTGCCACGGGAACTACATATAGTTGATGAAGCCTATGGATCGGCCGTGTGGCACTAAAAGGGTTAAGCAACTGAGTCTACTACCGACAGCTGCAGGAAGGAAGGGCACTTGACAACCCAGTATAGGTCTTTAGGGCACGACTAATGACAAACTTGAGGGACCGTTCAAATGCCCTCTCACTTAACGTGTTAAAACATACCCTACATAGGCATCCCATACATGAATCGTCAATCCTCTAGGATAGTACACGGCTCGAAGCTCGAAGAGTAACTTTCAACTGAGTAGGAAAGCTTACAAGTTTTTTTTTAAATACTTAGTTGTATCGTGAAATGTAGTTTCAGTTCATACGCGCCGTGTGAAGTGGCGTGAGAACTTATCAAGTTTTTGTGAGAAACGTTGTCCCAACGTTTCCGGAGACATTTTTGTTCGTATGGTCGTGCGAAGAATCCAGAAAATTTGTCGGAAACGTCACTGCAGCTTTGCCAAAAATCGACCCCTCCCAAGTTTTTCTTATTTCTCGCCAGTTGTGGTTGCCCGTGTAAGGGAGATTCCAGCCGTCCTCAAAATCTGAATATCTGTTACTTCTGCTTGGCTTTTACGTGTTGCTGGAATTTCTAGAACAGGAATGCGCCGAGTGCACGTCGGAACACAAAAAAGTAGTGGCGATGTTGCTCGCGATTGCTAGCTATGTTGCTTGTGTGAGGGGCAATAATGTACAACTTCGTCAGCAATGTTTCTGGACGGTGTTCTCGAAAAATAGCAGCTCTTGTTAAGTGGTTTTAATATTGTAGTTTTCACTTTTGGATGAGTCATGACTCGACTGATGAATCGACTGGCTTGAAGAACATGCCTCAAAGCCAGAATTTTATGTTAGGTTAAAAAAGTATACTATTTTCATCGTGGACAACTTAACCACATCATGAACGTAGGAGTTGAATTGATATTACGAACTGTAAGAGCAAAGGTAGAAAATAGCAAATGACTTTTGAATAAGACGGACGGTGTAGAATTGCTGAGGCGCCAGCAATAAAAACTTGCCGAGTCGTCCACGAAAGATACGACGATATTGGAATGTTTGCAGTGCCGAGAACATGGGATCGGCTTCGGCCTGGCGAGGCAGAGAGCTGTCGACCCCGCTGCCGACGATCCTGCTGTCGAACGAGGGGATGAGGAAGAAACCCCTTTTCCTACCCCGCGGAAGAATCCAAATCGACTCGGGATGCCTGTCGCTGCACTGCGAGCACGCGATAGCGAAGAAGGACCCCATCTCCCCGCACGATTTTCCCCGGATCCTCCGAAGGTATCCGGATCCCGGACCCGGCCCCCGACTGCCTTCCACTCCGGTCTCGCCCGTCTCTTTCGCGAGAGCCTCCTCGTCCGAGCCTCCACGACCGCCCAAGAAGATCCATAAGAAGATCAGAGGAAGGAACACGTGAGAACGCCGGACGATCTATGAGATTTGATCAATTTCAAGCGGAGTGGCTGAGATTCGTGGCTATTGAAAGTACGATTAGAACAAGATGGAAGAATTCTACTCTCTAACTTGAAAATGTCTGAGTCCCGGCTTTGCCCACACGAATCCCATCCATTCCTAAAGATTTTATGGTGAGGGGCATGCACTTTCAAAGGTACTTGAGGGAAGTCAAAGAGATTGTCGGCGTTTGGGGAATAGCAGCCCCATTCTCTCTACTTAATCGCCGGCATTCGGGATACTGCAGGCTCATTCAATACATGCAGGGGAGAAAACTAGGACATTTTTTTTATGGGGGGGGGAGAGACCATAGTCTCTACTGCTTATCCGGGGGAAGAGGGGTTGGGAAGGGAGAGTGTGAGGAACAGGAATGCACGCTTTACGACAGGAAGAGGGTGCGAGGAAAGGTAAAAAAAGAAAAGAAGTTTATGATCCAAATAATGAAATACTTAGAGGCAAATCCACAGCCACAATACTTAACTTATAACCCGAGGTGTTCACTCGCGTACTCAATAGAGTAGCGAAATAATGAGCAACTTGAGATGCGTAACCACTGAATGTGAAACTCGACTGCATCTCGTGAACAGTTTATGCTGGACCTAAGAGATGTTAGGAGTGGTCAGTGTACGTAGCGAAGTACTATTGAAGGCACCCACCGATAATTAATTAGCAGTGCGCAAGAGACACGGCATTGTCGTAGAGACGTTAATTAGTTCAGACGGAAATAGGGACTTTATAGCGACCTCGTAAAAAAAAAATCCAAATCCGCTCACGTGAAGAATAGGAAACTGTTGCATGTGATGATGCACTAATATTAGAGCCGAGAGAGATTGCATGTCTATAATAAGCGCATGTGAAGGGAAAAGGGTGCCAGAACGAGTAGGAGAGGATGCAAAATGTCATCCATAATCATAATCCTTTGAACTAAAGATTCATTCACCTGCCTGGGGCTGAGGGGGGGTTAGGTTTTCTAGCTTCCTTAGTTACGCCCCTGCAAACATGCATTCAAATGTTCATTGTTCGGAGACACGCTTAAGTGATTAAGACAACGAACATGTCAGTTTTCTATGCAGTGTGAGTCGAAATTTGAGTGCAAAAAGTTCTCTCCGAATTCCTTGAAGAGGAACTTTTTTCTGCGTGTTTGGAATAGAGAATCAGGGGAAGCAGTGGCGGAAGATCCTAGGGGATACCCAGAGTTAGAACTGAAAGGAACCAGCCTGTTCAAGAACCGTGACGGGAATGGAATCATAAACGGTAAGATCGGTGCCTCCCTCGTGGATCCATAGCGACAGCCCCCTCACCCAGTCTCTCCGCAGGCTTCACCCTGGGTCCCCTCGTGTGGAAGCCGGAGGAGAGCTGCGACACCCGGCTGGTGTCTTCGACGGACGTCGTCTTCGACGACTCGAGGATCTCCGACTGGCTCCGGTCCCTCTGCCACGTCTGTTGCACCTCGTTCCCATCCTTTCGTTTCGCAGTCGCATGACTCCAAGTGAATACCTCTCCTCCAACAGGCAGGCTTATTATTGGCTTCACTCTGAATCCGAGATCAAGATGCATTACAGCTTCCGTTTCGTGCGATTTAAGGACACTTCCCATTTATTACACAATTTATAACTAATTAATAACTAATATGCACCATTTCCAACTTCCTGCAAAAGACGAAGTGGAAATGGATTCTTCGTAACGTGACGTATCTGGTCTCGTTCAGGTACAGAAGACATTAAAATGTATTTACTTTCTATTACCTTGGTCGAGGATATGCCAACTGTCTCGCAAAAGTCCTACCTGATTTTTTTTTTCCGAGCACGCGTCCGGCAAGGAAGAGAATAACATTCAAATGATCAATGAAATGGTCGAACGAAGACCTCGATTCCAATCTGCACGATGGTTGCTTGATGAATACTGCACTGCTATCTGAGCTGAAAAATCCGATTTGACTAATATACAGTTAGCACTTTTTCCAATTTCAAGTTTTCTGTTTTGCCTTGAGTATAGTTTTTGAAGGGCCGCGACACCATGGTACGTCCCGAGCTTCAGTCTGAATGAACAGCGTGCGAAATCGGAACCGTCCGGATTCTCTTCTTAGAGCGTTCTGCACTCCAACTCTATGCTGTTAACGACCGGCGTCACTACTTTGTGGTCCCTTTAGAGGAGAATAAGATCAAATTGTCAATGCATTCCGGTAACGTTAGGCAGCAACGTTACAATGCAGCTGTATCTGGGGGGTTTGGAATTTCTTGTCTCATCTGTCTCAGAGTCTGCTTTTTTTAAATTATTATTCGTCAGGAGGTGTATTATCCGCGATCAGTGAGAATTTGAATGCTTCCGAATCGGAAAGCATTCGTGACCTCAATTTGGGTCAGGTCTTCACGAATGAACATGGCAAAAGCAGCCACCTCTGTAGCTGCGAGACTCTTCTCACGCGACATCAGGAGAATGCTCGTCGGGCGAATGATATTGTTTGCGGGATAAAATCCCTTTCGACGGAAGGGTCCGAGTAACCAGGCGTCCCTATTCGAGTCTCATGAAGTCCCATTTTCGAGTCTCATGAAGTCCCAATGCCACCGCCAGGGCAAAAAAAAAAAATGTCCCCGACTTTTGACACGCAGCTTTCGAAATGCGAATTAGTTCAGAGAATCTGACCCTCTGTGGAACCATTTCGTGATGGGACCCATTAAACTATCGCCGGTTTGCGTGGCATACAGTCCGGCGTTGTCGGACCGAGCCGAAACGGATTCGGCTCTAAAAGTAGAGGCTGGACTGGAAGAGGGATTGAGGGGTCTGGATTCGGTCATGCTCGGTCACGCGAGGCGGCGACTGACGATTGTCGAGGGCGGTCGGCGAGGTTTCTCAAAGGAACGGTTTCCCGGCACAAGGTCGCCATGGGAACTCGAATGACATCGGATAGTAAAAAAAACGAAGAATGTTGCCCTGAGATTACCTATTTTCTTTCATTCGACTCGAGCTTCTTCCTGCGACAAATCGGTAGCTGGTCCTGGCGGATGGGGAGATTTTCCACCTTGGGTCTGAAACACAGCAGGGGAGGACAGGAACTGAAATTCAGTTCATTTGGAGGAATGGTCTCGACTAGTACGAGACGTCTCTTGTGGGGATATGTCCACATTTTCCTTCTTGTTTTCGAGAGATTCGTCTCCATTTACGCACGAATTCTCCTTTACCGAATTCAATGCCAAAGCGTAAAATTCTCAATATTATCGTGAGGCGAAGACAGAAACTGGACTCGGAGGTCGCTGCCCCCTATTGCAAGTGCATCTCACCGATTACTCCGTTACAATTCACTAGTAAAAAAAAACCCATAATGTTGAGGAGCTCGTTCACCTTCTCCCCCCCCCCCCCCCCCCCCCCCCACCGGAAGGGGATCTGCACCTGGAGCACCGATTATCCGAATCAGACGAAGTCTGTGAATCAGTGCGAGACGCTGCCGGTTCACGGAGCGATTTCATCGGTGAAGCGAGCAAGAATCAGGGCGAGAAATTCAAATCTCTCATTATGCAACTTTCGTTTTGTCGGTCGCACCATCCTGACAACTAATCGTGCACTTTTCCACATATCATTTGGAGTATTCTTTTGGGTCGACCACAAAAACGGCAGTTTAGTTGCAGTTCGGTCCTTCCAGTTCAGACTTTGGTCTGACTCGAGTTCCACCGTGCAACTATCGACTACTCTCAAAACGAAATTCCAACTGTAGTTAATGCAAGTAAAATACTTGTAGAACTGGAACTGAATCGCAGTTTTGAAATCAGTCTAAAACTAGATGAGGCTTTATTTTTCGAGTCTGTCTGCCTCGGTCCATCGGTCTTGCGTCAAGCATACTTGCTTATGTAAGAAAAAAAAGAAGAAATCCTTAATGAATCACGTCTCTCCATACTTCATTAATTGATTCCGTCTCGCAAGAGGTACTCTTCTAAGTACTGATTCGTTTGCATGATGCAGCTATTCCACAATTGACTGCAATAAGCACGAACAGCAAGATTTTCAATATTGGCGAGTCCGAATATTCCATGATGAACATTCCATGCTAAACATAATCGTCTGGCATAAGAAAATTTCCTAAGGGTTGTAAGTAAGTAAGTCAGTAAGTAAGTAAGTAGTAGTCGTAACCAATGCTCGCGAACCGAAATCGTTTCACACGACTCGAAATAGACGAAGCAATGAAATTGCAGAGGGGAACGGTCATTAAAACCACTTAGTCGCAACCCCCCCCCCCCCCCCCGATCGAGAGAAACACGTTCTCTGGCATAGCTGACTGCCTGTCCGCTGAAATTATACCGTGGATAACAGAGGAGCTTCTCGCCTGAATGATACGCAACAGTTTATTCACCTGATGCGGAAATTTTTATTCGAGCTAGAGGTGATTTCTCATTCCCTGCGGTTCGAGGAACGGAATAAAGCTGTTATTCTCACGTCTCTTTGGTTATGCTTTGGGAGGTGTTCTCCTCTGAGCCGAGTTTCATTATTTTATGAAAAAATCGACGTTTCTGGATCGATCGGTTAGATTGGAAGGACTGGGCAAAAATAACAGAATATACCAGCTACGCACTGGAAATCTTGCGTCCGTGGCTTCCTTGGAAATTTCTCCCTGCATTAATATTACAGACAAAAAATCCGATGCTCCTCATTCTTGACAAGAAAAGATCGGTCTTACTCTCTGGGATATATTAGTAGAAATAATAAAACTTACAAGAAGTCACGGAAGTAAGAATTCTACTATAAAGTTGCTAAATTATACACCGTGCATATATTTTCAACAGTGTACCACATTCACTGTTACGAGGGCCACTCAATAAGTTATCTACCTGAATATGAAAGGGATGAGCAACAGGCCTGTGCCTGCTGTGACATGAGTTATTTTTCCCCTCTGATGTTTCTTTCTTATTCAGGTAGATAACTTATTGAGTGACCCTCGTACCTGCAGACCCGGATTCTTTCCCATCAAGTTTTCTACTCTATTTCTCTTTCAATTTCAAGGGAACACACAAATTTGGGGTCGCGAGTTGCTGGCTTCCGTGAACCGCTTTCATTTCGTTTCACCCGTGCAGAAATTGCAGTTGAAAAGGGAGGACTTGTGGGAGGCTCCATGGAATGGGCTTCGTTAGGAATAGGCACTTGTTAGGATTAGGCCTTCCTTTTTCTTTGTGTCTGATCGATTTCTCTACATCATTTCTCGCCATATTCTGAAAAGCAACTTCTAAGTGGAGGTCATTGTGGGAACGCATCGATGCGGCTTCTATGAAAAACTCATTAATTAATTAATCATCGGATTCAGTCTGGAGCCTGAAGAGAGCTTCCTGTTTCTCAGGTATTGATCAGCAAGTTCCTCATTTTAGAGAGGGTTTAAACAAAAAAGGAAACAATGCATTGGCCTTCTTTCCGCAAGCCGTCGACCTTGCCTGAACAGAAGCCACACCCAAACAGTCTTTTCGATTTTTTTTTCTGACTTTCAGTGATCGACATGGAAGATTGAAGTATGGAAAATATTAGACAAATCCTCCTCAACTAATTTGTAACCCCAACATAATCAAGATCGATGTGCCTGCTTCACAATAGTTTTAGCATGATTTAACTTCATAATTAAATAATTGCACCCGATATATTTGCAGTCAGCCGATGAGGACCTGAATCGAGCAGTGGACGCCCTCATCCGCGTATACGACGCTAAGAGAGGAACGACGGAAGAGGGAAAAGACGCCAGACCCTCGCGTCTGGATCCCAGAACCGCACTCAACGCCTTCCCGCCCCCCTCCGAGGGTCACGACTCGCCTGGATGAACGAATAAAAAACTATAGTTTCTACCTCGCGTCACGATTCATTCATGCCAGTTTTCAAATTCTTCCTACTAAGTCTTTTTTATATTCTTCAATACTTGATTTGAAAACGGTACGTCAGTTGCAGTTCGGTTCCAGTTCAGGCTATGGTGGAACCATCGACTACTCGCATGACAAACCTCAAACTCTTACTCATTTGAATTTACGCATTTGAAATACTGCGGAATTAGAAATGAACTGGAACTGAACTGCAGTTTCGGAGTCACTGAACCTTCCGGAAGCTCGGAAGTCTTTTCACGACCAATGATGACGCTGGAGAAGAGAAAAAAAAAAAAAAACAAAAAAAACAAAACAAAACAAAACAAAACAAAACAAACCACGATGATAAGAAAAATTCGGCTCTAACAGATTGTACATGAAAATGATAGTGATTCTGGTGGGACAATGTTTCAGTCGAGTTCGGACTTTTTTTCACTAAACTCCGACACACCCAACGCAAGCGGAGCTTCTAATCGCTACTATGATTAAGTCCCAAATGAGCACTCGTCGGATTAAAGCGAAAGAGTCCATTGTCTGACGGAACACTTTGATGCTAGGACGAGCAAAGCATCCTGCGGCCTGACGTCATCGATGAAAAAAAAAACTTTAACGGTATTCATCGCTGGGTTCCAGAGACTGAAAAGAGTTCATCGTTCCTGAATCATTGCGTGTGATTACCAGCAATGCTCAAGATAGCCATTCTTCCGCTCGATGAAGTGAGAATCGTACTGCGAAAGAACCGATTTTTTTAATCTGGACGAAAACCAACATTCGGCACCATGCTAGATTCATTTGCCAATTTTCCTCAGAAGCCAAACGGTATTTCCCGCACTTCGAGGCATTTTTTCCGTGCACCTCGTAGGACACTAACAAGAGGCAGCTGATAAAGTCCGATCATGAAGCGTGCTTTCTTTAGATCTTCCTGCGATATTTTTCACCCGCACGCCCAGCGATTTAATCATCACGGGATGAAGATGAAGTGAGAGTGCAAAAAGTCATCAAGCGAGCGGAAGGAGAGGAAATCGGCTCTAAATCCAGCGTTTCTTGCTCGTCTCAAATATGTATTTTCGATTCAATTTCATCCAGAATGTAATTTTTCGATTCAGCGGGTATTCCAATGAATCGAGTTCTTCAACCTTCGGAGAGAAAACGTTGAAGCACTTGCAAAAAGGGTATGCCGTGAGATAGGTCTGTGGAAAGTGTATGGAACTCCTTTCAAGTCCATGAAAGAAGTTCCATACATTCTACGAAAGGCTAGTGACTTGAAACCGAATTTTTCTTTTCAAGCCCGCGTAACTTCGAGCCAGCTCCGTTTCGATTATTGCAAATCCCAAGACCGGACCCTGCAGTCTTTGCTCTAAGGTCACCTGGGCGTTTCTCACGTTTCCATGATATTTTGGGACGTCTTGCATTGCTGCCCAAGACAAAACAAAATACGGGATCACAATGATCTCACGAGGTAATCGGGATCTCCCGTGTCGCAATCATTCCACTCCTACTGGTCTCGGCGAGAATCTGGAATCTTCCCTTGAAAGTTCTTTTCAATGTTTAGGGTAAAATTCACTTCTAGGAACCAATGGAGGTGCCCCATTTTGTGCTGCGACGAGTAAAGCATTCATAACTGCAGAACTCCACTGAATTCTTATTATTGTAAGCACTAGCTCATTAGATCCCTAAAAGGAATAACGTCAAGACGAGTCAAGTTCATTGGAATCGCATGTGCTGGGATCATTTCTCATTTTACCATGTATATGTTCGGTCGTCACGACAAGACAATCAAGTTTGCAAAAAGAAAATACCAAACCTCTTTCTACATACCTCAACTTAGCGCCCCTGCCCTTCTATCCTCCCCTCCCCTCCCCTCCCCTCCCCTCCCCTCCTCTCCCCTCCTCTCCCCTCCTCTCCCCTCCTCTCCCCTCCCCTCCCCTCCCCTCCCTCTTCATCTTCCTCCTACTCCTATCCCTCTCCCTCTCCCTCTCCCTCCTCCCCTTCCTCTCGTCTTTCCCCGCTTTCGTTGCAACGATACAAGGATGTTGAAGTGGAGCAGCTCTAGGAAGAGAAATGTATTTGGATCTTCTTCCCTGACGAAAGCGGGAGGAAAACTTCGGAACCTCTTCGGAAAGCAAACCTCTCCGATGCCCAAGAGAGAATAACTAAAATCACTGCTTGTTTTTCGAACGGCTGCTTCATTGCGCCGATTTTAGTTGAAAACTCACCAGGTGAGTCAAAATGTGACGAAGGAGCGAAAAAAAAATTGTTTCAACATATTTTTCAGTGGTTCAGAACAGGACGAAGGTAGAGATTTTGTTTCGGTACGTCCGACTCCGTGGAGTAAACGGATCGAGAAGTCGAGCCCCGAGAAAGAAATGAGGTAAAGTAGCTGTAATCTGCCGGGATCGACCCCGTGATCCCCAACCCGTAATATCCCAGTCATCCTCACAACTGCCCCTTCATCACGACGCTGTGATTTGGGGTCCATGGCCCCCCTGCCCTCCTCCCCCTTGCCCCCTGCTGACCGATTCCATGCCATCCGTCTGCTTTTAGCGAGATCGGCTTCTGTACTCGTAGGTAGTTCCACTTGGGTGGCTGAGTCATTATCCCCAGACGTGGGACTAATGGAAACCGTCACGAGCGCCTTCCATGTTGAATGCTCGCAGAAGCCGTTATCACCAGTCATTATCTTCATCGACATACACCACGCCCCCGATTCACACCAGTTTATCATCCCGAGGCCTTCTGGCCTTCGTGGAAAGAGTCTCGACGATTCCCCATTCATCGATTTCTGTGTGCCGAGGTCGTGCGATGGCCTGGTCCACCCTCACTTCACACGCACCTCTTTTCACAGCGGAAAGACGCATTCATCCCATGCATGCACGAGCGAAAAAAAAATTCCCTCCGCGAACCGATCGTCGAGCGATGACAGATCCTCGAGCGACGAAAAGCGATAAAGTCACCGATAGATTAAGTGAGGAACAGAAGCGCCGAAATGTTGTCCCCGAGACTAATGGCATCCCTCCCTCAGATGTGTCACGTCTTCCGCCGCGATAAGAGAGAAAAGGACGTTATCGGAAAGAGACAGACACGAAACCTCACGGAACCCCAGGAGACATCCTTTATCTCCCAGCCCTCTCGGGAATGCGTGACTCCCGGGAGACGGGAATATCCGTACTAAACTAATCCCTTGCCTGTCGCTCTTCCCATTCATCTTCATTTCGTTCCTCGACCAAAATTCATCTCGGGAAACGCGGGAAGAAGGAATTTTTTCCCAGAAGAAGGAATACACACTACGCACCGTGCTGTGTCCTTTACTTCAGGAATGCCAACTTACAGGAACCGCAGGACCTTACTAACACATTTTAAAATGTTTTCGGCAGCCAAATCAGTCATTTTACCTCAAGTCGATACAATTCTTCGAATTAATGAGTTATGATCTAAAATTCATGAACGATGATTTTTTTCGCGACGTGAGAAAGCCAACATTGAAGTCTTCGATCGGGCTGCATGAAAATGGATCCCGATTTCCAGAAAATAAAGTATTTTCGCATACAAGCAGTTGAAAGTTTTCAAAAGTTTTTGTTATTATCCTCTATTGGAGTTTTTATTTCCTTTCCATCAAAGGAAACACTCTTGAACGCCAAGCATATCGTGGAACCACGTATTACCATAGCAAAAAGATTTTAGCAGATCAATCACAACCGGAGCTATTTTAATAGCCTCAGTTCAGGCGCACCTACACCGAGTTGGCGCGTCGCAGCCATGAATTGAGTCAAATTTGATCACTAAAGATGAAATAACTCATTTCGATGCAAGGTTTGGATTCAACTGAAGGGAAACTGGTCTATCTGCGAGCGATTCTTTCCTCAAGCACCTGAGGGGAAGAGTGGATATTCAAGTCTTCTAGAAAACGAAGAAATATACTCGTCTTTACAAGGATTATTCTGAAAGTTTGGATTCTTGATTTTTTTTTCTCCACAACCAAAGAGATGGACGCACGCAATTTGGCATGCGCATTTCTGAACGCGTCAGGAGAACGCCCATCGACCCAAATATTACGTAATACTTCGTCGGCAATGGATGACAGAATGGAAGACGGTAAAAGAAAGAATCGTGGAAATTGGGAACGACGGTCCCCAGCAAAAGAATCGGCGGCGAGCATCCACGACCGTTGCAGCTACACCACTTTCCCTTTCAGCCCCTCAATTGTCGTCGTCTTGGGATGTGACTCGGAAAGCGAGGCGAAACTTTTGCTCTCGGCTCGGGAAGGATAGTTTGCACGCGTCCAATCATCGAGTCTGAAGTTTTCACTAGAATAAAAATGCTTCCGATTCGCAATTTTTCTTTATCCAGCACACAAACGTGATAAGCTTGATATTCGTTTTCAAGCATTTAAACATTTTTTATTTAATTTTTAAAAATCTACTTCTGAGTATATTTATTTAAAAAAAAAAAGAATTTATCGTCATGGTTCCATCGCCCCGTCCAAATCCATCATTCGGGCATTCCATGTTCATCATCGAGGCCTTCTATGCTCATCATCGAGACCTTCCACGCCCCCTCATCCATTACTCGCGACGTCCCCGATTATTTCGGCCGAAGGGTTATGATCCATGACGGTCCCTTTCCCCTTTGGTTTCCCCGCGGGAGAAGCCGAGAACTTAATGCATGCATCGCCCGAGAGACAAAGAGAAACGATCGACGAAACGGTTCGAGAATCCATAGGCGGCAATCATTCACCCCCGATCGATGAAGACGTCATATTCTCTTTTTCTTTCGTCCCATCACCGATCGATACGGGCATTCATCTCCTCCCGATCGATGCCGATGCAATCTGCTTCTGCCGGATTTTCTGCGCGTCTTCGCATCGACGTGGCCCGAGGACGAGACGACTTTCTGTGTCGAAAGTAAATTAGAGAAAGCAGTCGAAATTAATGCCGGATGCATTAATGTGCCGGATGCCACATGCA